AATAGTTTCTCTAGTGTGAGAAACTGAAAGTGTAAATAAGGATTAAAATGATTAAAATGAATAATTGATAATGTGAAATAGGAAAAGAAGTTCCAAAGGGCTAGGGGAAGTGGGAAGGGAAGGGGAAAGGGAAGAAGGGAAAGGAAAAATTATGAGAAAAGGAAAAAATGGAAACAAAGCCTTTGTAAATAAGGAGGGGAGGGAGTGAAGGGAGCACAGGGAATGGGGAAAAAATAAGAACCAAGATACATCATGTACAGGTACAAGTTCCCAGTGATAAATGTAAATGTATTGTATACCTAAAATGTATCAATAAAAGAATTTAAGCAAAAAAACCAAAGAAACAAAAAAAAGGATATGCTTTAGTTGGGAAAATTTTAATTGATTTAGACACCTCTTTATTTTTTGATGTTAAATATTTGAGGTATTGGTCATTCTAAGTATTAACTATATAATTTATACTGTCTTAAAGGTAAATTTATTCCAGTAGAAAAATCCACATGCAGCTAGATTGAATGCTTATATAATTCATCTCAGTTATCCATTCTGCAGAATAACCATACCATTTTACATATGTGGCTAAAACCAAGGCACAGTGGTCACAAGGACAACTAAAGTAATTTTAAAAATTGCAGTGTTCTTAGGAGAAAGTACCAACATTTATAATTTCAAACACAATAAATAATGATGAACACAGTAATTATACACCTTCATTTGTAGTTCTTCTTGTTCTTTCTTATATTTTTGGATTATTTCTTGGTGTTTTTCTTTTTCAATATCAAGTTCCAGTTTTGCTTCTTTCTTAAAGAGAAGAGCTTGCTCTTCAAATTCAACTAAATATCAAGCTCTTTCCTTGGAAAGTTCAGCTTCAATCTAGAAAAACAGAATTTAACACACATAAAATCATTTTTCTTTAAAATAAACACATTTATTTTCAGAATTTCATTTCTTAAAAAATACATCAGTAAGTTTTTAATTGAACTAAACATTTCTAGTATTGAAAAAATCCTAACTTAGAAGTTGACTGAGAAAAACTGAATATGGGGCAAATATTCCAAGACCTAAGACTTTCTAAAATCTGTAAAATTAGTAGAGAAGTTAGGACTATGTATTATGGCAGTTTTCAGAAATGCTTTAGCTGAATCATTCATATTTAAATGACTAAGAACTGAGTCATTTATACTATAAACTTAGTCCTTGCCAGAAACCTATAAGGGGGGGCCCCTCCCAAACAAAAAAAGGTTTTTAAGGCCCTTTAACTAAGTTCAGCTGAAAATTCAGAGGTACAAAATACAAATGTTGATTTTTCAAATAGCTCTTTCTTGATAGAGGTCATGAAAAGCTCTGGAGTCACAGATTGTCATTTTACCATAATTGAGGGTACAAGGATATATGGAAACATGCACAATTATATATATTCAGATCCACAGTGCTAGAAGTGACCTTAAAAATACCCTGGTTCAGTCTCACACTTCTGTGAGTTGTAGAAAGAATAAACAAGGATTTTGGTTTGAATTGGAATTGAGTTTAAATCTTGGCTGTAAATCCTGGCTCTGCCACTTGCTAGCTGTGTAATCTGAAGTTTGTGACCATAACCTCTCCTGATGGGGTTATAACTAGTTCTCTTGGGAGTCACTATGAGGATTAAATGAGGTGAGGCATCTGTGTAAAGCTCTACGAGCAAGAATCCAATAGTCAGTGGAGATTACTTGCACACTATGACCCTTCAGTCTGTATTATGGAATCTAGACCAGACAGTCTGCTGAGTGCCTCACACCTCCAGAAACCACAAGTCACTCCTTCCCCAGCAGGAGTTTCCATTTAAGTCAACACTAAGCATTAGGCAGTTTTTCCTGTAGCTGAGCCAACATCTTCCTCCATGTGGTTTTAACCAATGGTTTTGGCTCTGTCTGCCGGAGTGAGTCAGAGAACAGATCTATAGCGCTGGAGCCATTCATACCTTGGTGTTCATCTACTGAGATTAAAGAAGAGACCCCAGTAACAGGTTAGCTCTAGATTTCCACTCTGCCATGCTATGGTTATAAACTCTCATTGGAGGTAAATGCCAGGTAAATTAGGAGAAAAAGACGTCAAACTTGATGCACTATGACTGTGATTCTGCTCTTTAAAAGAAAGAAAGAGGCCAATAGGAATATCTCTGGGGAACACTGAAACCAGGGGACTGGTACACAGAAATCTTGCTAAAAAAGTTTACAGGAAAGCTTTTAAATTAAAATTTAAAAAGATAAAAGACTAGCCCCAGTGTGGAGTGAGTTAGATTTATTGCACTGGGCATAGACCCGGGCATTTGTGCTGAAGGCCAAGTAATTATGTTTATTTTCAATGTGAGGAGCTATTCTGACTCTCAAAATAAATTTCTGGATTGTCTGGGTACAAAGCTACTGATAATCTCTTAGGAACATTATAGAATTGTTCAGATGGGTTGCTCTCAGACTGCTAAAGACAAAGAAAGCCTCAGGGGTACTTAGAAGAATAAATGCTTTCTTGATTATCCGGTCCTCATATCCACTTGCCTCCTGGTAGTTATTTAAACAACTCACAGGTGTCTCCAATAAGCTGCATTGCCCTGAAGTCTTGAAATAATGCCCTCCCTCAAGGCCCATTTCTCCTCTAGCCCTCCACATGTCAAGACGCAGAACCGCTGTGCATCCAGTTATTCAAGTGAGTAATTTAAGCACCATTTTTCATACCTCCACATAAAATTGAAGATGTCTTACACCCATCAATTTCCTTCTCTCTTTTTATCACATTAGTCCTCGCTACCATCACCTCCTGATCAGCCTCCTTATTTCCACTTTGGCTTCTTGCCGATTCATGCTACACATAACATAGTATTCTTTACAAAATATAAATTAGATTCATTTAGCCCCTCTTAGAGGTTTCTCAATGCATTTGTATAAAATGAAAACTCCCCACATGACCTTGTTACTGGGCTACTACCAGGCTACATGATGCCTTTGTACAAACTGACAAAGCACTCCTTTCCTTAGATGAAAACAATCTCATGCCAGGTAGAGACTTGGTGAGTTGAGCACAGGCTGGATTCCAGCTCCCTCTGCCCCTTTGGCCAGGGCTCTTCTGCAGGGTGCAACCTGAACTCTGTGGGGATCTGTGGGGCTCCAGCCTGACTTCCTATTTTCCTCATTTGATCCTTATGCTTCAGCCACACTTGGATAGGTAAATCAAAGACACATGAAAAGAAGAAATTAGATGCAAAGTATTTGGAAAAATAGGAAAGTATAACTTTAAGGCTCAACAGTTCATTTGATGGTCTGACATTATTTTTTTAAAAATCAACCTAGGGCCAGGGATTTAGCTCAGTGGTGCCTGCCTTGCAAGCACAAGGTCCTGAGTTTGATCTCCGGTACCAAAAAAAACAAAACAAAACACCAAACTAAACATGTTTTGAGATGCTCAAGAAAAATGTAGGCCAATGTACTAATATATCAAGCAGTAAAAAAAAATCTCTTACGTGGTAGAGCCTAACAAATTGTGGTACAGCCTAAAGAATAATGATTTTAGGGAAAATATATATATATTTCAAAGTATGGACTGACTGCCCAAAATAAGAGAAGGAGAAGAAAAGCAAACTAGGTGGGGCAGGACAAACTACAAATTAGATAACAGTAAGACTCTGGAAGAACCTTTTAAAAGAAAAGTTCTTTTTAAAGAGAAGTCCTTCAATTTTATTTATGGAGAAAAGGTCATGTGGGAAATCAGTGGGGTCTCTCAATGTAGATGAAACAAAGGAAGCATTCTGGGAGGGAAAGGTAATGACTGATGGCTTGAAGGAGCAGAATTTTCTGCTCTACTCAGGTCAGGAAGCAAGGAGATCTTCTTGTCAACAAAATATTCCTTGTCATTATGGTGAGTAAAGACAGAAAAAGAGAAAAAATAGGTATCATGGAAAAGAAAAGTCACCGTAGGCAGGAGAAGAGTGACTGCTATTGGTTTGGTTTTTAATTTGTATAACCTAAGAAAGAAAGGTTCTTTCATTATCTGATTAATTGAGCTAAATGATGAGCCCACACAATGATTTGCTTAAGTAGTATATTATTTGCCATTGAGAAGATGAATTCATGCCAAATTGTATGTTATGCTTTTATATAAACTATTAGTTTAATGCATTGTAAATGACAGGACTTATGCAAAATAAATGATTTTGATGATGGTGTACATATAAAGCATAAATCAATGTATACCATAACAATAACTTTTATAATTGTGGGGAAATTCTGATTTCTAAAAAAGCATAATATATGACTTCAAGAGTTACGCAAAGTAAAATAATTGTCTGTGTATACATACTTCATCTCCTTGGTGAAGCCCTCCTAATGGCTCCAGAGAAATCTGAACATTGGTTTTCTTAAATTCCTTTTGTGTTTGTAATTGAAATGAATGTCTAACATTTTAGAAAATCTAATGCTGATTTGAAAAATGCTCTTCACTAATTATCTTCCAACTGAGATTTTTGTAGTTGGTTTTGTTATTATGATTTATCTATTCATGGAGTCTATCATCACATTATAACATCATGATAACTTAAAAACTAATGGAAATTTCAGATGCCAAAGTGGGAATCAGATAATTTTACATTTAATATCCATATATCTTTTTAAATTATCTCCTAAAAATAAATTACTGTATTACTTTCCGTAAGGTAAAAACTAGTACTGATTAGTTGAAAACTATTGCTCCCATTGTATACATTAAGAAATATGCTCAGAGCCGGGGATTTAGCTCAGTGGTTCCCATGCCTGCATCATAAGCGCAAGGTCCCGAGTTTGATCCTTGGTACCAAAAAAAAAAAAAGAAAAGAAAAGAAATATGCTCAGAAGGTTAAGTAACTTCATGAAGATCAGAGAGCTAGTACAGTGTGGAGAGGCTGTGCATACTCAGAAGTTCCTGGTAGACTCTATGGCTCAGCATGTCTAGTTTTCCCATATAACCTGTTTTTCCACATGTCTGTATGGCACAGTGGTTAAGAGCATGCATTTAGTATTTATTTAGTTTCAAAATATTTGGGATTTTTCAGATAACTTTCTGTTAATTATTTCTAATTTAGTTCCATTGTGGCCAGAGAAAATAATCCATGTGACTTGAATTCTTTTAAATTTATCAACACTTATTCATAACACAAATAACATCTATTTTGGTAAATGTGTCATGTATCACAAAAATAATATATTGTGCTGTTAAGTAGAGAATTCTATAAATGTCAATTAGGTCAAGTTTGTTCGTAGTATGGTTCAATATACTTCTTAAAAATAAATTATATACTATTTTTCTTATATATTTGTTCTGATTTCTAGCTATTTTTCTATCAAGTTTTTATATATATAAATAAATATGTATATAATTATATATATATAACTATATATATAACTATATATATATATACAATATCTCAGACACTAATTGTGCATAGGTTTTTTTCTCCTTGCAGTTTATCAATTTTTTCTCCATGTATTTATAAGCTGTTATTAGATGAATAAACATGTATGGTTATTATATCCTCTTAGTGAAATTATCCCTTTGCCATTATGAAATGGCCTTCTTTATCTGTGACAATATTCCAAACATTTTTATTTCTTTGTTCTGAAATCTACTTCATCTGGGAGTAATGGGGCTGCTCCAGCTTTCTTCTGACTTGTTTTAGCATTTTGTATATTTTACATCCTTTACCTTTAATCTATTTGTGTCATTATAATAAAGTGGATTTCTTCTAGGCAAGATATAGTAGAGCCTTATATTTTTATCCAACATGAAAATCTCTGCATTTTTTTTTAATCTCTGCATTTTTAATGGGGATATTTAGCCAAGGGCTTATGATCTATGGCTGCTTTTATGCA